AATTCTGACTTGCTCAGCCCTCCTGACACACGGCCGCTGACTGTAATCTGGCTCATGGGCTCTTTCCAAGATCCCTCGCTCTGCCCTGCTTCCTTCCTCACTACCCTTTCCCTCTGGCCACCTGATGGCCGCTTTGGCCAAAGTGTGAAGATATTTTACGTGGCCAAAAAGCATTGTGAAGCGCAATGTCCAAGATTCACAAAGAGTGGGAAATGGGGGTGTGAGGGAGGGGGGTTAAAGGAACGCTTGCAACATCCGAGGAAAGGGAAGCCCGAGTTTTTCTCAGCGGGTTGTCCCCTGGGAGTGACATCCTCAATCCTCTTAGGTCTCTAATTTAAGATCCGCCCTGTGCCAGCTCCCCCTCCTCTCGGACAGCCACCAGTGTCGGTGCATTGCTCACTGTTGTTCTTGCTCCCACCCTCGGGAGCGGTCCTAGTCATCATGATGGTTCTGTTGTCTTCCTAGGAGGTTTTCCTTTTCAGCCGGGTCAGGTTAGAAGTATTTTGCAGTTCAAATGATTTCAGCCGTTTCTACTGTCACCTGGTTTGCTTCTCCTTTTATATTGCAGGTACCTGTGGCCTCTAATGGTTTTCAAAAATCAGTACCGCCTCTTTATGTTACCGTATGAATTAATGCAAGTGTATTTACTTACTAGTGTCACAGCGAGTATTTTGATGTAAAGATGTTAACATCGCTCAACCCTAACCTTTTTAAAATAAACTGTTCACCCATTGTAAAGATACGTGTTTTAAGAGAATAAACTTAAGTCCTCTTGAACAAACGATTAGAGGCAATTTTGTCTGTTACTCTGCTAATTTTTTAAGTAAGTTAAGGTGTCGAATAATTTTAAATTAGATGGATTCGTAAAAATTCACTACAAAATCAATTTGGCTAAAATGAGGCCTATTGCTGATTGAACCTCAGCTGTCTCTTGGTTCTTTTGTCTCAATTGTTCTACTTGTTCAGAACTTTCAAAAGGTAAAAATTTGTGGCATTTGCCGAAACCGGTTTGGCTCAGTGGATAGAGCGTCAGCCTGCGGACAGAAAGGTCCCAGGTTCGATTCCGGTCAAGGGCATGTACCTGGGTTGCAGGCACATCCCCAGTAGGAGATGTGCAGGAGGCGGCTGATCGATGTTTCTCTCCCATCGATGTTTCTAACTCTCTATCTCTCTCCCTTCCTCTCTGTAAAAAGTCAATAAAAATATATTAAAAAAAAAATTGTGGCATTTAACCAGAAAGAGTAGAATGCTCTTTGATCTAAAGGGGGCTTTCTTTTTGGAAAATTAAGTTCACAGAGTTCTTAGAAGTCTTTTTCTAAATAGAGTTGTGTACTAACCTGGAAGAGCTACTCTTACAAGATATTCTTATGAAAATGGCTCATTTTTTTAATTGAAACAAACATAACAAAAGTTTGTCCCCTCAAAGTGTCACTTGTATGACTATTGATGTACTAATCTAGTACTACTATTGCCAAAATACTTTTTTAGAACCACACCTTTGGAATTAATTGCTTTAAGCCTTTAGTATATTCTGTTAAGTATTCTCATTGCTGACAAAATTTTATTCTTTGGGGTTGGAGTTGAATTTTTCAAATATTCCAAAGTCCTTTGCTGCTAAAGCTGGTAAATATGGGAAGCGATTGATCTGAAATGTATTTATCTTTTTGGCCTCCCAAATAAGGTGAGATTCTAAAGCAGTAGTTATTAATCTAAGGAGTTCTGAAGTTGGTTTAAGAGGATCTGTAAATGCTTTGAACAAAAGCAGAAAGGATCCATTTTATTTATTTTTTGAACCAGAGGTAATGGACGTATAATTGGTCATGTGACATTATCTACATATTTTGTAATGTTATAAAAATTTAACTTTAAGTACTCTTTATTCCTGTAAGTTCTTTTATAAAATACTTGAAGTTTGTTGTTGAAATATTACACATTTATAAACTAAACTTGGATAATTAGGAGACAGGTACATTCCAGGAATGGTATGATTCCAGAAAAAAATGATATCCACCTATTTTTGTTAAATCTGCCTTTTTAACTCATGACATACATGTTAAAGCTAGCTAGTAAAAAATGATCTGTGCAGTATACTACAACTTATACCTAAAAGATTTTTGGGCAGAAGGACACTGATTAGTTATTCTGAAGGTGCACTGTGCAAAAGTTGAAATGTTTTGAATGGTATTTTAATGAATAATATAAAACTTCCTAAATTGTGAATGTTTGTGCTGCCTACCTCCCTCATTTTTCATATTTGTCCCTTCTCCAAATGTAAGGTCAACAGCTCTTCCTGACAGTGAAAGTATCCGATTTTTTCTTCCCTTCTTCAGATTTCTGCCCCCCCCCCACCTCCACCCCTACCCCCCAATTCTCTCATTTACCTTCCAACTCTTAAACATTTTATTTTAGGAAAGAGCATGTTGTTTATTCCCTTTCTCTATGAATGTAAATGCTTTTTTTGTTGTTGTTAACCTTAAATTCTTACCTTCCTCATGCCTCTCCTCCTAAAGGCTAGATGAGTTTTATGTGTATTTCCTCATCTAAGTCTTACTGACAAGGCAAGGTAAATTGGAAACTCATAGGTGACAACAAAGAGTGTTTAACCAGAACAAAATAATATGTTTGTCTGCCATGAAAATGGAAATTGAGAGTTATGTTAACTAGGCTCAAGTGACATATTCCACCTTCTGAATAACAGGTATCACCATGATTCCAGACTTTCTGGGTAGGAATGGGACTCATTCTGTAGTTCTACTTCCTAAAGAAGCTTGCTCTAAAGCAGCGGTTCTCAACCTGTGGGTTCGGACCATCGGAAAACACAGATAGCATATCAGATATTTACATTACGATTCATAACAGTAGCAAAATTACAGTGATGAAGTAGCAACGAAAATAATTTTATGGTCGGGGGTCACCACAACATGAGGAACTGTATTAAAGGGTCGTGCGCGGCATTAGGAAGGTTGAGAACCACTGCAAAAGCACACTTTTGTTTCCCACTAAATCCTCTTCCCTCACTCCTTGGGAGAACACCTGTTGTTATCTGGTTCTCTGCAAAGCCTCCTACTGATTGGAGGTGGTGCTCTTCCAACCCCAGCAAGTAAATAATGATTGTTTACGCCAGTGATGATGGTTCAGGTCCTGCTGCTAGTTATTGTGAAAGCAGGGCTGTGAACTTACTCTCGGTCAGTGGGAGTTGGAGGAGAGAAGTTGCTGGGGAGCTGTTCAAACATTTTCTCAATTATAAAGATGTCTGAAAGGAAATGTTTTGGATATTGTGCTACATGGACGTGTGGAACTGCTTGGATCAGGGAAGGAAGACAGGCTGACTACAGAGTAGAAAGCTGGAATGTCCCTGATGAGATTGTGATGCTGAAGTAACCAGTTTGGGGGCACTTACTGCCTCTGGACCGCTTGCTGTAGAAGATTAATAACCCCATACTGTTTAAGCCACTTTCAGCCTGGATTTTCAATTAGTTGTAGTTGAAAATGTCCCAGGTGATACCCACTAATCCCAAAATTTAAAGATTCCTCAGAAGTGAAGCTGTTAAGTATTTCCTTGCACTGTCCCTGCAATCAGACAATATTGAAAACTGATGGTCTTAACAGTTACCATCCTAATTATCCTGGTTTCTCTCTCTCAATATCTAAAGTCAGCTTACTTTATTTGTATTTTCTTAGGTCTAAAAGCACAACATGCTGTAAATGGTAACTATTAACTGCAATTAACTATGTAAATTCTAAGTTATAAAATAGTAATCCTTCATTACTTTTTGCTTAGGGATATCAGCTGTCTCAAGCAAAGGATTTCTGCATCATTTTAATAAAGTGGATGATAATTCTGGTGCTATTTTTATTTTATATTCAGTAAGAAAATCTAATTTGGGAATTATGTTTATCAGAGTTGCTATCTTTTTTTACTTTGGGATGACTAATAATCTTAATGAAAGAAGCCCTGTACCAGAAGTCAGGAGATCCTGATGTGTCATTAACTGGCAGTGCAAACTTGGGTGTTCACATAACCTGAATAGTCCTAGGGCTACTGGAGTGAGAGGACCGATTGACTACCTGAATTCTTACTGCCTACTGGAAAGTCTATAGTTTCCTCAGGTTACTTGATGTGAACATTATGTTAGAGATAAAAGACAAAATGAATTTGAGCAACATAAATGGAAGTAAGCAAAAGTTACTGACTTTAGAAAAAGCAGCTTGACTAGGTGAATGAAGCTTTGTAATCAAACTATCATGGATTCCAATTCTGGCTCCAACATATTGTTAGTATAACTATATATTATATACTAACAATGTGACCTATTGGCAAGTTACTTAATTTCTCTGAGCTTCCATCTGTAAAATTAGGAATTGTGATTCCTCTTGTGCAGGATTGTTGATATTTAAGTATTATACTAGTATATAATCATTTATTGTTGTCTCTGGCCCAGGACAAATTACTTCCCTTTTCCCACTGCATAGAATTAGTGTGCCTGGAGCCATTGCCTCTTAACCGACATGCTTATTGCCTCTTAGCCCTAGCTTATTGTTTCTGAATTCCTCACCAGCCTACCTAAAGCTCATCTACCTCTGGCAGGACTACGTCTGACATCCCATTCAGAAAGCAAGTCCATTCCAGAGTTTCTACACAAAAGCAATGCATGCATTTTGAAGGATTTTAGATACAGTACATGTAAAGAAACTAGAATATTCTCTGGCACACAGTAGGCACTCTGTAAATGGCAATTATCTTTATTTTAAAAATACTAGTACCAATCTTCATATTCTTAAATTATTTGAAATTTCCTATTGTTGCCAGCCCCTGAGTACCATTGCCAACATTTATAATTTGAGATTTTTTTTCATTAAATTTTTCAAATTTCCAATTAAAAAAATAGACTTTATTAATTTAAGCAATTTTAGGTTCACAGCAAAACTGAGCAGCAGGTACAGAGATTTCCTATATGGTCCTTGCCCCTTCCAACTTGTCTTTTAACATAGGAAGCTCTGGAAAGATTTGGCAACTGTTCCCATATAGCAATATGTATTAGCTTTGAGTTGAAGAGTAGCTGTTCCTTTACTAGTCTGCCTCTTGTCCATTTTACCAGTTTGCAGTCACTCCCTATTGTACTACAGGAAGCTGCCTTCACTCTATATTATTTAACAACTATAGGTATTTGAGATTAAAACTTCCTTATGGAAGGAAATAATCATATATATATGGCTAATATGCAAATTATCCCTGTGGGAGTTTGACCAGAAGTTCGATCGCTCGCTATGATGTGTGCTGACCACCAGGGGGCGGCGTGGAATGAAGGCAGGCCCCGGCCGGCAGCTGAAACGCCTCGATTGGCCCTGATTGGTGGCCAGGCGGGATTCTATCCGTGCTGAATTTTGTGCACCGGGCCTCTAGTGTTGCAATAAAATATCCAAAAATCTGCTATGCCTTAGCCTATTGAAGCTACAGAATCTTTAAAATGTCAACATTTTGACTAAATGG